TCTCTGCCCCTCCACCCCCTCCGCCCCTCTCCCCCACTCTCTGCCCCCCTCTCTCTGCCTGGGCCACCTGTCAGGGCTCTCAGCCGCATGGGAGGGAGGGACGGAGCGGGTGCCTGCTTCCAAGCATGGGTGGACTTGCTAAGGCACTTCTGCTTGTGTTAATATTGCTATGTGTCTCTATCAGCCTGTGTGTGTGTTCTGAGTGCTGTATGTGTTGAGCGTGTGCATGGTTGTGTGTGGCTACTGTAGCATGGGTGTGCATGGGTGCGTGTGCATGTGGCATGCGTGTGGTGTGTGTGGGCGTGGATGTGTGTGTGTGTGTGTAGTGTGGCTGGTGAAAAATGAGTTCTTTTGTGGTGTCATGAGGAAAGAAGGTCAAGGCACCGCAAGGAGGAGTTAAAATGTGATGCAGGATTTTATGGTGAGTTCGGGGACGGAGAGGGTAGGCAGGCTCTGCAGCACTGCCCTGAAAGTCCTCCCTCTCCCTTCTTGGTCAGGTAAAGGACCGGCACCGTTCACATGCTCCAACCCGGACTCCTGACTTTTCCCAGCAAACTCGGGGGGTTTCCTGTCCTCTCTCCAATCTGATGGCCTTTCCCATGTTCCCAGGCGAGGTCCCGCCCTGTCTCCGCACCCTGACTCCCACGGAGCATGCCCACAAGTGCCATTACAGCAGCCCGCTCCTCTTGAGCATGTGCCCGGCGAGGAGTCTCCTCCCGTCGCTCTGGTACCAGACCGGGCCTCAGCACCCTGGGGAGATGGTCCGATCCCTTCTGAGGATGAAGTCTCCTCTGGCAGTTCCCTGTAGTGTGTGAACCTGTCTGGGGACCAGTCAGCTAGTGGGAATGCTGCTGCCCTGCTCCCTGCTCCCGCTTCCCAGTTTAAGATGATTTAATCCCCTTTTGCTTCCTTATGTTAATAACTAGCTCTCTTCCTCACGCTAATAACTACCTATGTACGCTGACAGTAGGAGATGGGGTGCGCATGTGGTATATGTGTGCATTTTGAGTGGTGTATGTTACACTGTATGGTGTATGTATGTGTGCTTGTGATATGTGTGTAGTATCTGTGGTGTGTGTGACTGAGTGTGGGCATGGTGTTTTGTGTGGTGTGTGTGTATGTGGTGTGTGGGGGGTGTGTGTATGTGTGTGGTGTGTGTGGGGTGTGTGTATGTGGTGTGTGTATGTGGTGTGTGTGGTGTGTGTGTGGTGTGTGTGTGTATGTGTGTGGGGTGTGTGGGTGTGTGGTGTGTGTAAGTGTGTGTGTATGTGTGTGGGGTGTGTGGGGTGTGTGGGGTGTGTGTATGTGTGTGGGGTGTGTGTATGTGGTGTGTGTGGGTGTGTATGTGTGTGCGGTGTGTGGGGTGTGTGGGGTGTGTGTGTATGTGTTGGGGTGTGTGTGTATGTGTGTGGGGTGTGTGGGAGGGGTGGGGGTGGCTGTTTCCAGGGAGAAGGGCAGAGCCCGGGTGCCCCCAGGGCAGCCTAGGATCCTGGAAGGGGGTTTGCCTCCCCTCTGCCTCCCCACAGCCAGGGCTGCTCCAGAAAAGCCCTGGAGGCTTCTGGTGAGGGCCCTCCCGCCGCAGGAGGCTGAGCCAGCCGATGGCTGAGGAGCTGAGAGAGCAGACAGAGGCCCTCTCTCCATGCCCCGATGAGCACTGGCCACATCACAGGGTCCTTGGCCTTTACTCCCACCCCTGCCGGAGCGCCCGAGGCCTCAGGCCCATGGCCACCTGCAGTGCAGGCCCAGAGGGCAGCTAGGATCCTGTCATTCCCTCCCTCGGGGCCTGTGCACGAGCCACCCGGCCTGAGACAGTGAGCCAACTGGCCTTTTCAGCTGGTGGGGCACACTGCCCTGGCCCTGCAGCTGGCCGAGCACACTGCCCTGGCGCTACAGCTGGCCAAGCACACTGTCCTGGCCCTGCAGCTGGCCGAGCACACTGTCCTGGCCCTGCAGCTGGCCGAGCACACTGTCCTGGCGCTACAGCTGGCCGAGCTCACTGCCCTGGCCCTGCAGCTGGCCGAGCACACTGCCCTGGCCCCCTGGCCCTGGCTGGCCGAGCACACTGCCCTGGCCCTGCAGCTGGCCGAGCACACTGTCCTGGCCCTGCAGCTGGCCGAGCACACTGCCCTGGTGCTACAGGTGGCCAGAGCAGGGCCTGGGTGTTTCGGGGAGCAGGTGGCTGTGGAGGAAACGCGTATTGTTTTACAAACCAGGACAAAGGAAAATGCTGCCCACTGTGGTTAAAGCCCAGTGACTGCATCCTCTCCGCAGAGGTGTCCAGGTGTGAAGACCTCTGCTCCAGACGGTGCAGTCTGGCAGCACACACCTGTGCTCAGGTGCACTGGGCCTTGGGAAGTTTGATGAAGGGGCATGCCCACGATGGTATTGTACAAGACCACACTGCTCATGGCAAGGGGCTTGGGCCCTTACCCCTCTTGCGTCCATAAGTTACTACATTTATTTTAGAACGGTACACATTAACTATAATGCATACAATGCATAGTATAAAACATTTTTAAAATATATAAAACCGGCACAAAACTAGAAAATGTAGGAGGGTGAGGCCAAAAAGTGAGCATTCCCAGTTCTAACATCCTCTTCTCACCCTGGCGCATCATCTTGTGCATTCCACTTGGGGGACCGCAACCCTAGACAGAAGGCAGGTGCCCCATCTTATCTCCCTCTGGGTCCTCATTATCCATTGTGGGTGCACACACTAGGCGCTTGGGAACCTGTGATGGATGGATGGATGGATGGATGGACGGACGGACGGATGGATGGATGGACGGATGGATACAGCCCGCCCACCCGAGGGACCTCGGCGAAGCCGGGGCTGTACTGTGGGTCAGCAGGGTTCCAGGTGGTGCTCCCCAGCCCGACTCAGACCTGGTGCTTCTGCCCACAGTCGGCAGACTCCAGCAGGCAGCCTGCCACCTTGGCAGGACAGTTCAAGCAGTCCCTGGACCAGCTGATGAAAATCCTGACCAACTGCCAGCCCTCCTTCATCCGCTGCATCAAACCCAATGAGCACAAGAAGCCGCTGGTAATGAGGGAGGCTGGGCAGGGGGCGGGGCAGCTAGGGTCCTGTCATTCCCTCCCCCGGGGCCCCCGACAGTATTCGAGCTGCCACCCGCCCCATAGACGGGACACGGGGTGAGGTGGCCAGTCCAGGCCATGCGTGGTCAGAGGCAGGGCTGGACTGCGGACTCAGCCCTGCCGCTGGCCCGCTGTGCACTTGGCCAGGGGCTTCCCTCTCCAGGCGGCGTCTCTTCCGGGAAGTTAGAATGGCAACTGCCTGCCTGCGGGGCGGGGGGACCACTGCTGCTGCTATCACATCACTGGGCTGGGGTTTCAGAGGCTGCGGCCATGCTGGGGCCTTTGAGAGCGTGCTTCTCGCTTCTGCGTGGGGCGGGCGGGAGCCTGCTACCTGCCACGGGCGCTTGGCCGTGGGCTGGGGAACCCCACCCACCCGGAGGCTACAAATACAGGACTCCCCAAACCAAAAGAGGCCGTCTGAAAGGAGAGAGATCTTATGAGGGGAAAATGTTATATTAAATAAAGTGACCTTTGGGAAAGAAGAAAATTATTGAAGTTGAGGCTCTCCGGCTCTCCAGAACGCATCCTCCAGGTCGGCAGTGCTCCAGGCCAGGGCAGCGCCCTCGGCCCACACCCCCGGCCTCTGGCTGGAGGCGGGTGCCCTGTGGGTGTAGGGGGACCCCGGCTGAGGGGCCGGCAGGCTCAGGTTCCAGCCCGAGCTCAGGACTGAGGAGTGGGGCCCTGGCCTCAGGCGCCTCGCCTTGAAACTGGAGCTCAGTGCCCCCGTGGGCTGTTGTAAAGACCACATGAGAAACACGAGATGGGGGGGAGGGGGTAACTTGCCCCAGAGGACCTTCCGTGTGGCCCTGACCCACGAGCAGTTGCCTCTGGGAACCTCAGTTTCCAGGTAGGTAACTGCCTGCTGGTGGACTACCCAGATTGGGGGGTGCCCCCAGTGCCCAGAGACTCCCGGGCTGGAAGGTTGGGGGGTGAGCAGAGCCCCCCACCCCCATGCCATGGCCACCCCCGCAGGGAGAGCCAGCAGCTCTGAGTAGGAACTGGGCTGGGGCGCTGCTGGCAGGGGAGGCCGCGTTCCTGGGGGGCGCTCCTGGGGGGCTTAAACGGGGTGAATACAAACAGCTGCGCACCCGAGGGGAGGCGGCGGCAACGCTTCTGTTACCAACTGTGATCTCCGTGGAGACCTACAGACCCTCCGGCACGGACTGTTCCCGGCCTCCACCATATTCTCTCCAAAAGGGACTTCTAACCAAGCGCCGGCCCGCCGCTTTGGGGGGAGGGGGGGTCCACCTTGGGGGGAGGCCGCCTTCAGAAGGGGGCAAGGAGACAGCAGTCTGTCCATTTTCAAAGAACATTCTTTGTGCAAACCCAGTCACCCATGACATTTATTGACAATAAATATTTCTGTGCATTTCTTGGGGGGAGGCCGCCCCTCATCCTTCTCTGGCCTCTGCCCGCAGCTCTTCGACCGTGAGCTGTGCCTGCAGCAGCTGCCCTCCTCGGGGGCCCTGGA